TGGGTAGTAACTGATTACATGTAATCTGGATTATGTAATCAGAATCCAAAAATTATGTACTTGTAATTAGATTATATTACATTTTAAATGCTCGTAATCAGACTACAGTTAATTTTTATAGATTACATGATGACATATTATTCACAAAATGGCAGTAAATTATTCATAATGTATTGATTGGCCCTAATTATTTTTCTCTCTTAAATCTTCCTCTAAAAAAAATCCTACCGCTTAAATTAGAAAGTATTTTCAAGTTTTATAGACCTGCACTCACCAGCCAGTTGGCAGGTGACTGTAATTACACAGAAAATAGAGAGGTTTTAGTTTAAAGGTGATTAGTTTAATTTGACATTATGAATTATTATCTTTTCATCTCTTTGTGAATGCCCTGCATTTCATTTATGATCCCCAGTTTGGGAAACCCTGGTGTATGTTCATGATGTTGATAAAGATTGGAAAATATTTTCTTACAGGTTCGGTCAAAAGTAATCTAAAAGTAATCAAAAAAAGTAGTCAGAATACATTACCTAAAATATGTAATCAAAAAGATTAAATTACTAACTATGATTTCCGAGAGTAATCTGCCCAGCACTATAGATAGATAGATAGATAGCACTATAGATAGATAGATAGATAGATAGATAGATAGATAGATAGATAGATAGATAGATCAAAAAAAGTAATCTGCATTTTGTAATCAGGTATATGCAAATTAAGGCTTTATTGTATTTAGCTAATTTCTATGGGCAAATTTTGCACATCACCTTTATTTATAGTCTGATTGTCAGTCAGCTGTTCTCCCTTTGCAGAATATTTCATCTCACTTTCCTTCTGTTTTTGCAACTCTTTGTCTTTATATGCACAATTATAGTCTGTCGTTCTAATTTTGCTCACATTCTGAGTGACTTCATGTCTAAGCAGGGTGATTTCAAAAAACAAAAGTAGTTCAGACCACAAACTCACTTTATCTGTCAGCATAGCGTGCCGTCTGGTGTGTGCAGGTATGTAATACTGGAGCACATTCACACAGGGTGCTTTTGAATACAGCCAGCCCAGTCCTGACCACAACTCCACATATTTTAGCACTTTGTTAGACTGGAAAATATTTGGTTGGATTGTACAAATTCCCTAGCACTGAGCCAATAGATTAGAGCAGTACAGTGAATGTGATATTACAGAAAACTGTGTGTGTGAGATTCTTGTACCTGGTGTTCTTCTGCCTCCTGCTGGTAATCTCGTTGAAGGCTCCTAATCCATTCATGATCATAGTTTTTGAATGTGATGAGGCATCTACTGTATGTGCTTATAGATATTATAGTGGCGTGGTCAAATATACCTTCCCTTGTAACAGTTAGTAAGGATTTGATGTTTCTTTTTGCTACCAGTTAAAGACGGATTTTAATGGAATATTAAATTACTATCAACATACTATCAAAATAAATACATTCGGATTTCAACATCAGATTTGGACACATTAAATAAAATGTGAAAATTAAAAGTTAAAGTATATTAAAATGTACTAAGTTAAAACATACCATATTTCTCAAAATTATTTAACTTCAAAAAAAATAAAATAAATATTGGGACTGAAGGACAATGAGTGATTACTTTTGAATGGAACCTCTTCATTGTGTAAAAAAAATAATGAACTGATTTACTAAAATGACTCCCTACATGATACACGATGCGGAAATTTACATGTCACTCCATCATGCTGTGAAATGTCAGTTGTTCCTGGAAAAGGTGATACTGACAGCCTACTGATAAATGTCATTATTAAACTGGTAGTGTTTTTCTTCTAGCTACTGTTGTGCACTGATGTGTCTTGGTGTTTGCTGTGTAACAGGTGTTTGGCCGGAGGGCTCAGATGGGACAGATATCAATGCACTTGTGCGATCTCACAACAAGAAGGTGATCGCTCTGGCTGATGACTTCTGTAAAGTTCACCTGTTCCAATACCCCTGCTCAAGACCGAAGGTCTGTCACGTCACTTTACTGTCATATTTTAAAGAGTGTCTTTACTTTTACATTTTAGAACATGATGTATATTAGTTGTTTGCTAGATATCTGAAGCCAGATATAAGCCAGTTTGATTCATGATTCATTGGTTTTTGTTTCAGTTTGTTTCAATATACTGAACAGCAATTTGATTCAGTACTTGTTCTTTAAGTTCTTTAAAACTTTAGTGAAAATCCTATTTTCATCTAATTTCCAAATGCATGTTATTGATCTTATTGTGAACAATTTATGCGTGAAATTGTTTTTTGACCTCTTAATTCTTATCGTCGATCTTCCAGTGAAACTACAGACTTCTCTCTGGTGACATACGTCGGATTTCGCCAATCATTTATTCAACTTAAATTCTGCCCCTTTCATACAATTGACTGCAAATTCAGATCTGCCTCCACCCAGTCAACAATCACTACACCTACAAGTCACTGTCCTACATTTTTTCTTTTTTGGTAATCCATTGTATGTCACAACTAGGGGTGGGCTATATACTGGTAGATACGATTAGCCGGTAGAAATGTGTCAACCGGTAGAGATTTTGAACTATCATCTCTATCGCAGTTATATGCTCACATGATGTTGCTGTGCTACGTGGTCACGAAAACCTATCGTTTGCACGTGTTTTTAATAGGGGTGCTCCGATTGATCGGCTACCGATCACTATCGGCCGATAATCGCTTTGGGATGTTTGATCGACGGTCTCTAAAAAGGCCGATCTCAAAAAAACGATCTCAAGCTGATGACACACCTGCAATGAGAGGTTTGGCATGACATGCAGCGGCACCGTCTCAGTCTCTGTCCGGTGCGGGTCAAATAATTATAATGCTAAAGGTGAGGTACAATTCACATTTCTTCATTAAATAACTTCTAAAGTAATTTGAAAACTTTCTGTGAGACATAATTTCACAAACAGCGTGAGCGAATGACTTTAAATGCCTTCAAATCACATCGCGTCTTGGAGACTGTGCGACTGGAGACTCGAAGCGCACACACATAACACCAGGTTCACATATACTCCGTTCGTAGTGTGTATTATTTCCGTGCTCATGTTAACAGATTAAAGCGTTCACACTGCACACGGTTGCGGTCTGGCAGTGCGTTCCAGGAGCGGTCTGCAGCAGTGCAGTGATTGATTCCGCATCGAGTTTGCTGCACGCGCTGCATTAAAGTGACAGCGCATTGTTTGCGGTAAATAAACCAAAATGTAGTAATTACACCATAAATGCATATAATTAAAGTCTACTGTGTTTCACAGTCAACAAATATGGCTTGTTGGTTAGTTTTTAAGGAAAAGAGCAATTTTAGATAAAAAAGGCAATAAAAGATGGCACTCGTGGTGGTAGGAAAACAAAGTTTATTACACTATGCACAATCAGCTTGTAACACTCCAAAGAGAAAGGAAAACTTGAAATCGCATCATATGACATCATATTTCATATATCATATATAATCATAAAATCATATTTAAATATTTTGCCACTTGCTTGAGCAACTGCGTTCTGCTGTGTGTAAGCTATTTTGCAACAATTGCAGGAGTGTAAAAACAAAAATGCACTGCATGATCGAACATTTAGGTGAGATAAATGTATATTTTTAAAAAAATTATCCCCTCCACCCCTCAAAAAAAAAAAACCCTCTCACAAGAGTCATCTATAAGAGGGAAATTACCCCAATTTCAAAAATGAAATTCAGGCCCTGAATAAATGTCTAAAAATCCTGATTGGAGTATTACTGTAAATAATTCTAAAAAAGATCGGTATCGGTGATCTTATCGGCAGATACTGCTTTATGTGATCGGTGATCGGCCTCAAAAATCCTGATCGGAGCACCCCTTGTTTTTAAGCATTGCTGTTTAAAATCAAGTGATTCTAAGCCATTGAAACACAATCAGCAGCAGCAAGAATTCATTTCGCTATATACTTGCACTGTCTGAAGGACCATTTCTGAGCAGTTTCTGACCCTTTTTTTGTCAGAGAGAGTTTCTGTGCACCGTCAGAGAGGCACGCGCACATGAAGACGGTGCTCATAGAGCACAGGAGTATTGAACTGGTTTGAGTTGAGTTGTTTTTGCCGCTTTAGGCCTTGAACGGTTAAATAGACACACTTGTATGTATCAAAATGCCTGTCTTTGCAACTATCTTTATCTTCTTCTTCTTCTTCTTTCGGCTTCTCCCAATTAGGGGACACCACAGCGGATCATCCGTCTCCCTAAGAGGGGAATTCCCCCCATTTTCAAAAATGAAATTCAGGCCCTGAATAAATGTCTAAAAACCCTGATTGGAGTATCACTATAAATAGGTATAAATTATAAAACAAAGGTTTTAAAAAGATCGGTATCGGCAGATACTGCTTTATGTGATCGGTGATCGGCCTCAAAAATCCTGATCGGAGCACCCCTTGTTTTTAAGCATTGCTGTTTAAAATCAAGTGATTCTAAGCCATTGAAACACAATCAGCAGCAGCAAGAATTCATTTCGCTATATACTTGCACTGTCTGAAGGACCATTTCTGAGCAGTTTCTGACCCTTTTTTTGTCAGAGAGAGTTTCTGTGCACCGTCAGAGAGGCACGCGCACATGAAGACGGTGCTCATAGAGCACAGGAGTATTGAACTGGTTTGAGTTGAGTTGTTTTTGCCGCTTTAGGCCTTGAACGGTTAAATAGACACACTTGTATGTATCAAAATGCCTGTCTTTGCAACTATCTTTATCTTCTTCTTCTTCTTCTTTCGGCTTCTCCCAATTAGGGGACACCACAGCGGATCATCCGTCTCCAACTATATTTATAAACACAGTAATTTATGTTTTAAGTGAAACCAAACAGCTGAGAAAGAAAACACATTTGTAACAGACAGTATATTGGATCCGGGCAGCTCTTAAAGTGATAGGGATCGGGGCAGCTCTTAAAGTAACAGCAGTCTAATGTTCCTGCTGTCTGTCATTCATGTTGATCAAACAACAAAAGAGAGAAAATCTCTCACTGCTCTTGACTAAATCACTTTTGTAACTTTCGTAAGAATTTGATTATATTATACAATGTATGTAGCATTTCTTATTCATTTGTTCTACTGTAGTTTTTTTTTTTGTCCTATTGCTTGTAATTAGTTTCTTATTCTTATTTAATCGCTGACTGTTTTGCTTGGTTTTATAATTTTTTTTAATTTAGGCTAGTATTAGTTTTTGTGATATTGACGCTGGTGACAAGAATTATGAAATTTCTATGGTATCAACATTTTTTATATCATAAAGACCTTATTTAAAGAAAAAAAATGCTATTGTGATATACGTATATCGTTATTGTGAAATAAAATTACTCATATCGGGATATAATATTTTTGTCATATCACCCAAAACGATTGAAGCTGAGTTGTAATTGAAGCCTGGGGGATATTATTTTCTCTCTTTATCTGATTTTATTATTTAATTGCAGGCCCCAAGCCACAAGTACAGCGCCCACAGCAGTCACGTGACAAATGTGAGCTTCATGCACAGCGACAGTCACCTGATTTCAACGGGCGGCAAGGACATGAGCATCATGCAGTGGCGTCTGGTGGAGAAGACCTCATCCTTGGTGCACAGCGACTCCAGCCTGGGCCTGGGCGATTCCCTGCTGCACAACTCCACCCCTCGCACCCTGCCATCGGTACCCAGCGTTCCCCACACTCCTACTGAGCCCTTGCCGGTGCCAGCCTCGCTTCCCCTCAGCACCCAACCCGACACCAACACTCCCCCTCCCACTCCCCCCGAACCCCTGCACACGGTTACTTCTAATGGACAGCAGGACGGCTCCCCTGAAACCCCGCCCCCTTCCGATGATGCCACGTCCCCATCTGACAACACCCTGAGCCCCAAGGACAGCCTAGAGCCTAGCGACGATACGGCCACACCCAGTGATGAGGGCACAACCTTTAACCCTCCCTTATAAGGCAGTCCGACCCCTTCCCTCGCCTGCTCGATAGCCCGCCCAAAGGCACCAGCATGTCACTGCAGCCTTCCTGTCGGATTACAAAAGCAGGGTCTCCTCAGTTTTTATCCTTTCAATATTTTCTTTTCGTTTCGTGTCTTAGTTCCGTTGTTATGTTGACATTCAGTAGATGTGGTTGTGGAGGCATTGGTTTGGGTTGGATGGTGAGAGATTTGGAATGTGTAATTAAAAACCTTTGGAAAGATTTAGAACACCTACAAGTTTACACTGAGACACACACAACCACACAACCACTAATACACACATGCATAGACACATCAGTAACTGTGATGAATTTAAAAAAGAAGAAAACAAACGATTTACCAGTTTTAGATACAAACAACATGTTCATATAAATAGACAAACGAACAAATACAACATAAAATAGACACATGCTTTCAATTAACTGTCATTTGTCATATACATCAATATATTAATTGATTAAGGATCAGCAACTAAGGGTGAATTAAGTTGAATTACTGAAACTTTTCCTCACTTTCCTCACCCAAAAAAATGAATGTTCTGTATTTATTTACTCGTCCTCAAGTCGTTCCAAACCTGAATGACTGACTTTCTTCTGTGTAAAACACAAATGTTAAAATTTAAATGTTTTGAAGATGTTTCAAAGATCTTTTCAGGATATTTCGAAGATGTTTTGAGAATATTTAGAAGATCTTTCGAAAATCTGTCGAAAATCTTTGGAGGATCTTTGAAGATCTGTCGAATATCTTTCAAAAATCTTTCGAGGATCTGTTGAAGATCTGTCAAAAATCTTTTGAGGATCTTTTGAAGATCTTTTGACTGTTACTGTCCTTACAACAAAAGTCAATTGGGCCCAGAACAACACTGGACCCCTTTGACTTTTATTCTTCAAAACAATTTTATTTGTTCTGCAAAAGACAAGTCAAGTCAAACAGGTTTGGAATGACATGAAGTTGAGTAAACGATGTTCATTTTTTGGGTGAACTATCCCTTTAAATGAGTAAACCTTAAAAAAAGTCACAAGATGTAGATGTAGATGATTTGTATTCTCTCGCTCTCTGTGAACATTGGTGGAGGACTGCATGTAAAGCTGATTTGCGTGCTTGCATAGCATCTGTCCCTGAGCCAAAAACTACAGGACATGTATATCTGGTGATACCAGTCAGGTGCCCCTGGCTCATTGGTCAGACTCAAGGACCTCAACAATTCATGCTGCTTCTGCTGGTCGTCATGGTCACGGACACCTTGAATTTCAATTTGGCAGTCATACTCAACAGCCATAAACAGCATAGCAATTCATTCAGTACAAACACAAGTAACACACACTCACAAAAGCCTGACCTGCCTCAAAATGGGGTCTGCATGGCAATAGCCGAGCTATTTTATAAATTAAATAAAAACAAAACAATTTCAGTCTCATCCGCCTGTCTAAAGGTGCCGTACCACCCTCACATCTCTCAGTTTCCTCTGTTGGACTGGAGAACCTCCTCTGTATTCATACCATCCGTTTTAACCTTGCGTCCAAATGACTTTCTTCTCACTGAGACTGCATTGTTTTTAGGTTTCATTTTGGGACTGTTTTTCTTGTCATTTTTTTTTCATTGGACTGATATGTTCTTGTTTTTTATCGTATGAGAGAAACGAAAGATTAAACATGTCTTAAATGTGCGTGCGTGAGTGTGTATGTGTACGCGAGTCGCCGCTTCTTTCATTCCGCTGAAGGGTGATTGCCCTCTCCCTCTCCCTCACATTTTCTCAGGATCACTCTTTTTGGAGAGAGCCCAAAAGAAAAAGAAAGTCAAAGGAAGAAATGATGTTTTTCCCCACTCCTTTCTGTAATGCTTAAAAAAACGGTACCAGAAAGTACCATGGTATTATTTGTACCATATTGGGCTAATTTAGGTAATTTGGGCAATGTTTTGACATTGACAGGATGGAATATCATGGTATTTGAGTATGGTATCATATTATATTTATAGTGATGAGATGGGAGGAAAAATTTGATTTCAATGCTATTGCGTTTGCATTTTCTCGCAAAAGTAGTGAGAAATTTTGCACTCGTTCACAAAATATTTGCATTTTCTCTGAAAACTATTGCGTTCCCCTTAGAAACTTTGCATTCTCTCATGAAACGTTTTCTAAAAGTATTGCGTTCACCCAAGAAAGTTTGCATTAATTACACATTTACAGTCATTTGGGTTTTCTTCCTTTTTTAATTGTGAAAGAATGACAATCTTCTGTAATGTGTATAACAATACACATCAGCATTCAAATACGAAGTATTTTACACAACTGCCTCAAATTCACAAAATATTTGCATTTTCTCGGAAAACTATTGCGTTCCCCTTAGAAACTTTGCATTCTCTCGTGAAACATGTTTTCTAAAAGTATTGCGTTCACCCAAGAAAGTTTGCATACATTTGCAAAACATTTGCGTTTTCTCGCAAAACTATTGCGTTGCGCTGAGAAACTTTGTGTTTGCTTGTAAAAGAACTAAAATATATTTTTTCTTCCTTAATTCCTAATATTATTTCCATCACAAAAGATTTGTGAGCGAACACAAGAGAATACAAAAGCATTGAAATATAATTTGGTATTACCATCAACAATGCATGGAGATATGGATGAAAAAGAAGCTCATTGAAGATTAAACCGCATTCGGAGGCGCCGATATCTTGAGATGAAGCAAATCTTTTCTCTGAAATGAATCAATATCAGAGAAACACAAGAGCACAGCTGCTGAGAGAGATTCCCTCCAGTGCTGCTTGATGAACGGGAACCTAAATCATCAATATAACACCAGAAAAGACATCAAAACAGCTCTCAAACCAGCTTTTAGAGGCAACCTCTACATTTTAAAGCATTGCTGAGTATTAAAACGCATTGTATGTGCAGTCTCTGTGTACAAAGGCATGAGAAAGCATGGTTTACACGCTCAGATTTTAGGATGCGATGCTGTATTGACGTATGGTATTGAGAAGCCTGGTTCAAATACACATTTACAGTCATTTGGGTTTTCTTCCTTTTTTTAATTGTGCACTCTAAAAAATGCTGGGTTAAATTCAACCCAGTGCTGGGTAAAATAGGGACAAACCCAGCAATTGGGCTGTTTTGACCCAGCGGTTGGGTTAAATGTTTAACCCAACCTTCTGGGTAGTAAACCAACCGCTGGGTCAAAACAACCCAATTGCTGGGTTTGTCCCCATTTTACCCAGCACTGGGTTGTATTTAACCCAGCATTTTTTAGAGTGTGAAAGAATGACAATCTTCTTGTGTATAACAATACACATCAGCATTCAAATACTAAGTATTTTACACAACTGCCTCAAATTCATTTCTGATGTGTTTTTAGGTGATTTTTAAGTGCATGAAATAGTTGTAATAGTGGATTAGGTGGTGTTAGCAACGACGGAATGATACCTGATTGTTTTTGTGGTGTTGGTGTGTTTATGCAACGTTTGCGCTGTAGACGGTGTTGTTGAGTTGAATGCCCCTCAGCTGGTCTGCAGTTACCTTTTTATACATTTTATGAATGCTTTATGTACTTTTCCTGTTTTTTAAGAAAGTTGGCTGGTTTTCACTGAGATTGGCTTAGTTAGGTTTTCCATGGACTTCCATGTTTTATGTTTTTGTCCTGTCCTATACAGTGGGAAAGCCACACTTAAAATGTATGAATTTCTTAGCAGAAACATAATACAGGCACACTTTTAAAGCAAGATATTTCACAAAAAGCATTTGAAGTTCAAAACGAAGACAAAAGTTAATGTGATAGTTTTTGCTTTGTGATTGCTTTTGATAGTTAATGTGATACTCTACACGAGTGAACTTGAGGAAAAAATCACCAAAACACTAGCAATCGAAATTGCCAAACGGCTCAGAAAAGTGACATTTGAAAAGCTCATTCATACTATTGAATCTGATTTAATAGCATTCAGACGTTTGTAAGTGTGACTTGAGTATCAGAATACTTTTTGAGGCCACTAGCTTGGCTCTCCTGAACATCTGGACTCTTAAAACTTCAGGACACCATTGATATCAAAAGGGCAACTCTCAGAAGTTTTACACAAGTTGCAAACAAGGATGTCGATCTTTCACAGACCTTTGTTGTTGCATTCAGGGCTGGCTTTATTGTGTATATATTGGTGTACCTGTATGTATATAACTATTTTGTGGTGGGGAGGTTCTCTGAAATGCAAGGGCAATGATTCCATTTTTGTTTTCATCCACGAAAAGGCTGGGGACTGTTCTCCTGCAGATGCAGGTATAGTGGCCTTGTGGCATGAGTTCAGATTTTAGGATTTGTCACACTGTGGTCTGGTTTTCTCTATACCTGGATATTTCTCAGTTTGGAGACTTTAGGGCTTTTCTATAAACCTGTCACTTCCAAGAACGTTGCATACAGAAATGTTTTTTTGAATGTCACAGATTATTTGCCTTGTTATTTGATTTTGAAAAGAATGGTAAGTGTGTTGGTAGAAGTAACGGTGAAGGGTTTGGGTGTTTTGAGAGAGTTTTATAAAACAAGAGTGAAAGTGAAGCTGTTGATGTCAATGTATTGATGTTCACCATTGAGGAGACTGCTGTTTGTGTTTTTATATCTGCTAATATCCAAGAGCTAATTTCCAAAACATACACAGGAGAGAGAGAGAGGGAATGGAAAAGCCCAGCTGGTGATTGTATCTACACTTGTTGGAAATGTTGGGCTTGAGTACAGCTCTGGACTTCCTAATGCTTTGCGGTTTGCAGGGCGTCTGAGTATATCCTCACTGAATAAAGGTGCGGAGATTAAGCTAAGCTTTTCTGATAAACAGAATGACAGTTATGAAAACCACAATGATGATTCTGTTTATGCAACTGATTCAATTATGTTAACAAAATATGAAAAGGCAATTTTTTTTTTCTTGTTACAAAGTTTGAGCCAATCTGTCTCATGCATTCCTGCCAATGGGCAGAAAATACTGAAGAATTTAGAAAATAAAGAAACATTTTAAAAACAGTCGTTGTGTTGTCTCATGGAGATGTCTGGAGTAATTTGTTCATTTAAAATTCTACATATTTCTCTAATGTGAACACCTGAATGAACTTTATACTTTATCTCTTTAAAGGAATTGTTTGCCCAAAAATAAAAATAAAAAATGATGAAATTGTACTTACCCATAGCCATTTCAAGATGTAGATTAGTTAGTTATTTATTTTTGAAACAGATTGGTAGTTTCATCTGAATCAGGACAGAAATAAGCACAGATCAAGCACCGCACAGTCCAAAACAGCTCTAAGCAAATATGTCAGTGGATTTTGATGTGAGATGATAACAGGAGATGGACTTTTACAATGGAAGAAACATTATTATGGATTATGGCCAGAATCAACTGTTTAAATTTAAAACGCCTTTTTCATGGATTTGTTTCTCAAAAACACCCAGCTTTTCAATTCACAACACATTAATTGATGGACTGGAGTCGTGTGGATTATTGTGATGTTTTTATCAGCTGCTTGGACTCTCATTCTGACGGCACCCATTCACTGCAGAGCATCC